GGTAAAATGGTAAAACCATTGTTAAAACAAGTTAATCTGTATCCAACTAGATTTATTAGTAACGACTAAGATTCCTGGTGGTGTCCGAACTCTGGGAATTATGATCATAGGAGGAACAAATATTCCACTGACACTCATGCAGATTACATCTGTAGAAAGCTCCCCTCGTTCTGCAGATATTAAGGTGCCGACCTGTTTTCTACCCTTATCAGCAATTACTTTTGATGGACGACCTTGAACAGTTCTAATTTCGGTTTCGTCAACGTTAAAAATACGGGAGGTTGGGAAGTTAATTTTCTCTTAAAAAGGCTCCATAATGTCAAAAAATGATAAAACTGCTTCCTTGTTAAAATCTCAAGCACGTGCAGCTGATGTTGCTTCAGGCAAACGGATCGAAAGTTTATTCCGTTTTAAAAAAAACGCGAGGCCATTCCCACCCAGCCAACTTGGTGTTTTTGTTGAAATGATGTTTAATGTTGTTTTTATCTGCCATCTGATATGCCAAGCTACGGATGGAACGAGTTGTAAGACCGAACATCATAGTTTCCATATTATTTGCATATAGTAATTTAGAATGACCTGTGGATTTATTTCTTCCTTCGAACCTTCTTTTCAATATTGATTTTGGAACTCCATATTTTTTTAATGCTTTTAGAAATCGACAAGTTCATTTTTCTAATGCTTCAGAGCGCTGGCCATAGATTTTTCAGAACATTTTTGATGCTCAGTCTTTCGTTGGTAATTTCTAGGCATTTGAAACAGAAACAATTCTAAGTTTATTCTTATATCACCATAAACAAGCTTGGATATTTCTTGCTTTTAAAAGTCTTTTATTTTTTAAAAAATATTATTTTGACTTAACTATAGAATTTTCACATAAAACGTAAAACAGGATATCCCATTTTACCTCACCTTCACCTACATGATTGTATTCAGATTTAGGCATGCCACCTTTTAAAAATGTTATTTTAGACACTGCAATAAGCTCCAATTTTTTGAGCTCTTCTTCGATAATAGTGTTTGGAATACTGGGGCAGACATTTGATACCACTAGTCGGCTCGCAGAAGTAATTAATCTTCTAATTTCTATGTCGTTTCCTTGTATTGAAACGGATTTGTGATTATGTACTAATTTTTCTAAGATTGTAGTGTTACTGAGATAAATACATACTCTGTTATTTGAGATTCTGGACGCGAAGATGATTTTTTTGGTTGTACTAAAAGTTACTATTGCTGTTATGTATTCGTGTATTTTTATATCCGGTACTGATGACAAAACAATTGCTTGTTCTTTGGATGGAAAGTTAAAGTTACTTACGGCATTGGACTAGGTTAATGTTGACTAAGAGGCTGGTGCTGAAGATGTTAATAATGGATTGGTGATTACTGTGTCAGTTTTTAAATTGTTATTCATTTTTAATTTTTATTTCTTCATTATTAATAGTGTTAATACTAAAACGCTCGCTACTGACTTAAGGTAATTAAATCGGCTTATCGGCGTTTTTGTTTGAAATAAAAATAGATCATCTGTTGTTTAGTTTTCAATAAAATCCTTTAAATGGTTTTATGTAGATCAAATAAAAATTGTACTTACAATTTTTCTCTTCTGTAGTTAGAAAACACTTTAATTTCACTCTTAGTACAAACTTGTATTTAAAGTTTTGGTATAAACCAACAAAAATAGTTATTTATTGTACAAGACGATAAAATTGTACTTTATCTTCGAGAGCGTTTTTTAGCGTCGAGACGTCAGTCGAGACGCTAATTATGCTCGAGAAGATAATGCGATTTAATCGTCGTGTGCAATACAACTTATTTTTTCTATAGCAAAACTTCAAGTTTAGGTGAAAAATAGAATTTCTTTCAAAGAAAATTGTAATTTTTAGCACAAAAATCGCAATTGTGTTGCTCCGTTGCTAGGGATATGAATTACTCTGTCAACAAATGTCAAACAAATGTTACGTTTTGGTTTTTGCGGAGAATATTGTTGCGTTTTGTGTACAAAGTGAATAAATACGAAATGGACGGAAAAGAGTTGACACAAGAAAAGGAAAAACCTGCCATCAGATGTAGAAAATGCAGCATTGGAAGCAGAAAGTTTATTGTTGCCACAAAAATCTAGGATGATGTATGAGAAAGAATACCAGTCTATTAAAAAGTGGAAAAGCATTAAGAATATCAATGGCGTGAGTGAAAAAATACTTCTGGCGTATTTTCCTAGAAAAGTCGAAGAAAGCGATGCCATCGTCATTATGGTCGTATTATTCGATGCTGAAGCGTACGTTGTTGGTGAATGAAAATTGTGACATTTCTAAATTCAGCAAGGTAACCACCTTACTAAAAAACCTGAGTGGAGGATACAAAGCTAAAAAGTCCAAAATCCTGGAGTCAGATGACATTATTAAATTTCTGACAGAAGCTCCTGATGACGTGTATTTCTTGATGAAGGTTATTACTATTTTTGGTGTGCATGGAGCGACTAGGTCCGATGAATTTTACAAGTTAGAAGTGTTTAACGTAGACGACAGAAAATCGGTGATAATCGTTTCATTATCTGATACTAAAACCAAGCAGAAATGGTCGTTTTGTATTACTGACAAGAAAAGTGGACTGAGTTTCTTGGAAATTGTGAGAAAGTATATTGCCTTGCGCCCCAAAAACGTACCTCACAGTAAGTTTTTTATAAATTACCGACAGCAAAAGTGCACTACTCAACCGGTGGGGATTAACACTATATATAATATCCCCAAGAAGATTGCAGATTTTTTGAAACTTGCAAATTCAGAAATGTACACGGAGCATTGTTTCCGTCGTTCTTCAGCTAATATGTTCGCAAATTCTGGAGCGGATCTAGTAAAAGTTAAACGTTTAGGTAGATGGAAATCGTCATCTGTTGAAGAATCCCACATTGACGAGTCAATAAGCAATATGATTGCTGTATCCAAGTGTATACTTGGCGGGCCAGAAAATCAATCCTCGAATCAGGTGTTTAAGCAAACGAGTACAAGTTGTGATGCTCCAAAAATAGATATTTCTAATAATGTTAATTGTAAAATTTCAGTTGTTTTTAATGCTTAATGTGTTTGAATTTGTAAATTTTATTGAATAAAAAAAAGTTAAAACATTTTATCTACTCTTGCTGTTAAAGTGTCACTTTATCTACCCTTGCGATTAAAGTGATACTTTATCTACTCAAAACAGTTGTTATAGCAACACTTTAACATTAACCCTACAATGCTCAATTTTTTATTTTGGATTGGAAAAAATTATATGTATAGCTATTTTATACAGAAGTCCGAAAAAAATAATTAAAAAAATGTAAAGTTATTTTCTTTTAATTTCAGGACATTTTTGGTCATGTATCAAATTTGATACAAAGTGCATTTGGGGAAAATTATATATAGGAAATAAAATTCTTAAATACCTTTGTAATGTAATATTTTTATTGATGGAAGTCAAAGAAACCGTTTGAATCCTTATTAAAACATAAGTGCAAACCACATTTGTCACATTTAACATAGGTTAATATTTTACAATTTGGCTTTTTGCATCGGGTTCGATCACTAGTGTAGATTGGCCAATGTCCTACAGCATCGGTTCGGATATCTTTTGGAGGAATATAACTTGTTGGCCCTTTCTTTTTCTTCAATTGTATATCCTGTTCAATAGAACTTGTAGATGGTCGTCCTAGCTTGCTTGATAAATTTTGCATACCTGCTCTGCACAGGCAGTCAGCTACATCAATTCTAAAATTGACCAACGGCATAGACTTGGTACCATTTTCTTTGCATACTCGTTTATAAAGAATCCAACTATTTACAAGGTGGAAAAAAAAAATTCGTAAGTACCACTTTTTTGTACGGAGTTTAATTTTGTATCTACCGATGAGACTGTCTAATAGGTCTACTCCACCCATGTGTCTGTTATATTCTTTGACCAGATGTGGACATGATATCTGGATTTTCTTATTTTCTTTTTTGTCAAACC